GCACAAATACCGTAATCACAATAATAAGATGATATGTCAGGCACAAAACATGGGTCCCTACCTCCAAGGTCACACTTAGAGGTCAAAGATTGACATAGTGTGTTATAGGGTATATTTTGTGTCCGATCTATAACTTCTACATAGTTCAAGGGATTTTGAAAATACTTGACACAAATAGTAATATTAATTAGATGATATGTCATGCACAACACCTGCACCCCTACCTCCAAGGTCAAAGTCACCATTTGAGGTCAAAGGTTAACATGATAGAATTTTACATTCCGTGTTTCATTTTACTAGTATTTCTTTAATAAATTCATTGTTGCATTTGTAGATCTAGCATTGATCATAATTTTGGAATGAAAGTCCTGACATCCATACCTCAATCTTTTGAAATAGCACAATTTTATGCGTCATATAAAACTTCCCCGAGGCGGGGGACGTTGGTAACTCTGTTACAAATTCTTGTTAGTAATTAATTTATTCAGTTATTTCATTAACATACAGCTAGATACCTATTAAAGAAGTCATTAAGGTCAACAAGTTGAATGTTTACAAAATAATGTGTGAACTTAGTCATTATAATTATGCTGCATTTACAATTTTACATAGACAGCTAAATGGACTTAAAAACCTTATTTGGAATTGTCCATTGTTTTAAAGGGACTCCACTGAGGTTTTTTGACATGACTGCATGGACTGAAAATATTTTTTTCTCAGATTTGTGCATCATTTGAAGTAAGTATTTAATAAATCAGTAATTTTTGTGCAAATTTTTTTTCAAAATAATTCCCCTCTTCTGTTTTTCCAGAAAAATAATTTCTAATGTGCAAAATGATTCCAAAATGAAAACTTAAATTGGGCAAAAAATCAATATTCAATTTAATTCTGAGTATATTTCTTTAAAATCCTTGGCAGATTTGTCCATATCTATATTATTATTTCAAATTTTATGTTTTTTAGGCTTTTTGACTTCAGTAAGAGCTCCTTTAATAGATTTCAGGGTCAAAACCAGGCATTAATTGTCAGACTGCCTGTATGGCAAGACTTTATTGCAATTTGAGTTTTAAATATTGAGAACATTGCATAAGAGAAATAGGGATAATTTCCTAGAATATTTAAGATATTTTAGAGCTTAAGGATATTATGATTTAATAACAGAAATTCATTAATAGAAACATGAGGAGGGTAAAATTATATTTTTACTTCAAAGATAAAATAATAAAGTCTTTATTTAAAGAGGCTACACAGTTACAACAAAGGCAGTCTACCCTGTGGGCCTCATATATATATAGCGTTATATAAATAACATGCTAAATATCTTAATGGTCTTGTCCGTCTTTCAATCTGAACAATACAATTCATCATTTTTACAGAAAACTTCAAAATATGCACTGGCTGAATAATGTACTTCAAAATATGCACTGGCTGAATAGTGTACTTCAAAATATACACTGACTGAATAGTGTACTTCAAAATATGCACTGACTGAATAGTGTACTTCAAAATATACACTGACTGAATAGTGTACTTCAAAATATGCACTGACTGAATAGTGTACTTCAAAATATGCACTGACTGAAAAGTGTACTTCAAAATATACACTGACTGAATAGTGTACTTCAAAAGAATAGTGTACTTCAAAATATACACTGACTGACTAGTGTACTTCAAAATATGCACTGACTGAATAGTGTACTTCAAAATATACACTGACTGAATAGTGTACTTCAAAAGAATAGTGTACTTCAAAATATATACACTGACTTAATAGTGTACTTCAAAATATACACTGACTGAATAGTGTACTTCAAAATATACACTAATTGAATAGTGTACTTCAAAATATGCACTGGCTGAATAATGTACTTCAAAATATGCACTGACTGAATAGTGTACTTCAAAATATGCACTGATTGAATAGTGTACTTCAAAATATGCACTGATTGAATAGTGTATTTCAAGATATGCACTGACTGAATAGTGTACTTCAAAATATACACTGACTGAATAGTGTACTTCAAAATATGCACTGATTGAATAGTGTACTTCAAAATATGCACTGACTTAATAGTGTACTTCAAAATATGCACTGACTGAATAGTGTACTTCAAAATATACACTGACTTAATAGTGTACTTCAAAATATGCACTGACTGAATAGTGTCCTTCAAAATATGCACTGACTGAAAAGTTTACTTCAAAATATACACTGACTGAATAGTGTACTTCAAAAGAATAGTGTACTTCAAAATATACACTGACTGACTAGTGTACTTCAAAATATGCACTGACTGAATAGTGTACTTCAAAATATACACTGACTGAATAGTGTACTTCAAAAGAATAGTGTACTTCAAAATATACACTGACTGAATAGTGTACTTCAAAATATACACTGACTGAATAGTGTACTTTAAAATATACACTAATTGAATAGTGTACTTCAAAATATGCACTGACTGAATAATGTACTTCAAAATATGCACTGACTGAATAGTGTACTTCAAAATATGCACTGATTGAATAGTGTACTTCAAAATATGCACTGATTGAATAGTGTACTTCAAAATATGCACTGACTGAATAGTGTACTTCAAAATATGCACCGACTGAATAGTGTACTTCACAATATGCACTGACTGAATAGTGTACTTCAAAATATACATGACTGAATAGTGTACTGATTGAATAGTGTACACTGCAGACCATGACTGGCCTATCTTGGTCTGCACTGTTGGCATGGGTAGATTCTGCAGCTGACTGAGCTGGCTAAGGGTTACAATGCAATTAAATCAAGTGTTGCTTTTTTACTGCACAAAGGGTTCAAAATATCATTCTTTTTCTTGACATAATTGTGTCAATGGAAAGAAAACATGATGCTAAAAATATGACTTTACTTAAAAAAACAAAACAGAACAAATTTCTTTAACCTTGCTCTAATTAGAAAAGATATAAATACTTTGAGAGAAAAAATGGCATTAAACACTGTAAACAAGAAATAAATCGGAGAACAACACGTTAAAGGTGGGCAGAAACCTTTAAAATTTGTTTTGTAATGGAATGCAAGGCTTTTATCACTAATTTTCTGCAAATTTATCTTCAACATTTTAACGACCCTTTTATTACTGTGTTATATATCTTATAGTGGTATTAACACAGTATTTGCATCCTAATAGTCTTGCAAGTTTTCAATAAAACTCATCATAAAAATAATGCATTACAGATGCCGTGAAGAAATTATATTATGTTTTTTGTTGTAAACAGTAGGAGTCTTAAACTAAAGACTATGGCATAGTTCCTTCTCTGTGAATGAATTGCAAGAAGTACATCAACAACACCTTATTCTTAGCTTCTTTAGTGATTTATCTGAAGAATTTTTGCTACTGACAGAAAATTAAAAAAGATGTTTTATGCCACTGGTTAATTATAGTGAATGTGCCAGCTTGATTTAAAAGAATGTGGAAAAAAGCATTGATGTATTGATGAAGTTATCTACCAAGCTGAATTTTAAATAGTTTTTTTTACACATTCACTGCAAAACCCTAATTATCCTACTGTCAATTATAATATTTGGCACTTACAACTGCTGTTACACTCTGGAATCAAAGGTGATAAGACAGATAAGGTTGCCTCTTCTTTGTTTCTACTGGTGTCAAAGGTTGCCTCTACTTTGTCTCTACTGGTGTCAAAGGTTGCCTCTTCTTTGTCTCTACTGGCGTCAAAGGTTGCCTCTACTTTGTCTCTACTGGTGTCAAAGGTTGCCTCTACTTTGTCTCTACTGGTGTCAAAGGTTGCCTCTACTTTGTCTCTACTGGTGTCATATGTTGCCTCTACTTTATCTCTACTGGTGTCATAAGTTGCCTCTACTTTGTCTCTACTGGAGTCATAGGTTGTCTCTACTTTGTCTCTACTGGTGTCATAGGTTGCCTTTACTTGGTCTCTACTTGTGTCAAAGGTTGCCTCTACTTTGTCTCTACTGGTGTCATATGTTGCCTCTACTTTGTCTCTACTGGTGCCATATGTTGCCTCTACTTTGTCTCTACTGGTGTCATAAGTTGCCTCTACTTTGTCTCTACTGGTGTCAAAGGTTGCCTCTACTTTGTCTCTACTGGTGTCAAAGGTTGCCTCTACTTTGTCTCTACTGGTGTCAAAGGTTGCCTCTACTTTGTCTCTACTGGTGTCATATGTTGCCTCTACTTTGTCTCTACTGGTGTCATAAGTTGCCTCTACTTTGTCTCTACTTGTGTCATAGGTTGCCTCTACTTTGTCTCTACTGGTGTCATAGGTTGCCTTTACTTTGTCTCTACTGGTGTCAAAGGTTGCCTCTACTTTGTCACCACTGGTGTCATATGTTGCCTCTACTTTGTCTTTACTGGTATCAAAGGTTGCCTCTCCTTTATCTCAACTGGTGTCATAGGTTGCCTCTACTTTGTCTCTACTGGTGCCAAAGGTTGCCTCTACTTTGTCTCTACTGGTGTCATATGTTGCCTCTACTTTGTCTCTACTGATGTCATAGGTTGCCTCTAAATTGTCTCTACTGGTGTCAAAGGTTGCCTCTACTTTGTCTGTACTGGTGTCATAGGTTGTCTCTACTTTGTCTCTACTGGTGTCAAAGGTTGTCTCTACATTGTCTCTACTGGTGTCATAGATTGCCTCTACTTTTGTCTCTACTGATGTCATAGGTTGCCTCTACTTTGTCTCTACTGGTGTCATAGTTTGCCTCTACTTTGTTTCTTCTGGTGTCATAGGTTGCCTCTACTTTGTCTCTACTGGTGTCATAGGTTGCCTCTACTTTGTCTCTACTGGTGCCATAGGTTGCCTCTACTTTGTCTCTACTGATGTCATAGATTGCCTCTACTTTGTCTTTACTGGTGTCAGAGGTTGCTTCTACTTTGTCTCTACTGGTGTCATAGGTTGCCTCTACTTTGTCTCTACTGGTGTCATAGGTTGCCTCTGTTTTGTCTCTTATGGTGTCATTAGGTTGCCTTTACTTTGTCTCAACTGTTGTCATAGGTTGTCTCTACTTTGTCTTTACTGGTGCCAAAGGTTGCTTCTACTTTGTCTCTACTGGTTTCATAGGTTGCCTCTACTTTGTTTCTTCTGGTGTCATAGGTTGCCTCTACTTTGCTTTTCCTGGTGTCATAGGTTGCCTCTGCTTTGTCTCTACTGATGTCATAGGTTGCCTGTACTTTGTCTCTCCTGGTGTCATAGGTTGCCTCTACTTTGTCTCTACTGGTGTCATAGGTTGCCTGTACTTTGTCTCTACTGATGTCATAGGTTGCCTGTACTTTGTCTCTCCTGGTGTCATAGGTTGTCCCTACTTTGTCTCTACTGGTGTCATAGGTTGCCTCTACTTTGTTTCTTCTGGTGTCATAGTTTGACTCTACTTTGTTTCTTCTGGTGTCATAGGTTGCCTCTACTTTGTCTCTACTGGTGTCATAGGTTGCCTCTACTTTGTCTCTACTGGTGCCATAGGTTGCCTCTACTTTGTCTCTACTGATGTCATAGATTGCCTCTACTTTGTCTTTACTGGTGTCAGAGGTTGCTTCTACTTTGTCTCTATTGGTGTCATAGGTTGCCTCTACTTTGTCTCTACTGGTGTCATAGGTTGCCTTTACTTTGTTTATCCTGGTGTCATAGATTGCCTTTACTTTGTCTCTACTGGTGTCATAGATTGCCTCTACTTTGTCTTTACTGGTGTCATAGGTTGCTTCTACTTTGTCTCTACTGGTGTCATAGGTTGCCTTTACTTTGTTTCTCCTGGTGTCATAGATTGCCTCTACTTTGTCTCTACTGGTGTCATAGATTGCTTCTACTTTGTCTCTACTGGTGTCATAGATTGCCTCTACTTTTGTCTCTACTGGTGTCATAGGTTGCCTTTACTTTGTCTCTACTGGTGTCATAGGTTGCCTTTACTTTGTTTATCCTGGTGTCATAGATTGCCTCTACTTTGTCTCTACTGGTGTCATAGGTTGCCTCTACTTTGTCTCTACTGGTGTCAAAGGTTGTCTCTACTTTGTCTCTACTGGTGTCATAGATGGCCTCTACTTTTGTCTCTACTGGTGTCATAGGTTTCCTCTACTTTGTCTCTACTGGTGTCATAGGTTGCCTTTACTTTGTTTATTCTGGTGTCAAAGGTTGCCTCTACTTTGTCTCTACTGGTGTCATAGGTTGCCTCTACTTTGTCTCTACTGATGTCATAGGTTGCCTCTACTTTGTCTCTACTGGTGTCATAGGTTGTCTCTACTTTGTCTCTACTGGTGTCATAGGTTGCCTCTACTTTTTCTCTACTGGTGTCATAGGTTGTCTTCTGGTATCATCCAGTTGTTTCAATGGCACCTCGACTGAAACCAGTCTTTGAACCAAGGTTCTTGAAAAGGTTCCATTCATGGAATATAGTCAGAAACCAATAAATGTTAAGAAATTTAATTTATAAAGATTATTCTGAATGATTCCACTAATTAATGAACCTTGTTGACTAGCTTTTTGAAGCCGTGAATATTAATGGAAGTCATGATTTCATCTGTTAATTATGCAATTTGTTGAAATATTTAACTACATTAGATTCACCAGATGAGAATTTTAACAATTTAAATGAATCTTTGATGATAACATATTTAATTAAAAGGTACATAGACGAAATGATTACATTCAAGTATTTGGTTTAATATCTAATGTAATTAAGATGCTATTGCCAGCATTAAATTAATAAAAAAAAAACTTAATCAGTTTGTTAGATTTAAGATTGACGGGAAAGATAATTTCTCTAAATTATTTCTCTGTTGTTTCCATACTGCCCTTCCACCTACTTATGGCTCTGTGTCCACCTTATAGAGGAATTTTGTAATAGAGGTACTCTGGAACTGGCAAATGTGGGTATTTTACCATCTAATCCAGGAGTTTATAAACGTTTACAGATACAACTTGGTAAATTTTATATTGATTATAGAAAGATTTGTTTCGGTATAGAGTACAGTCTCCTAAATGAAGTGCTAGTTTTCTAAGTGAAGGGTAGTGCATGATCAAAGTTTGTTTGTACCCTAGGATTAATAGGGAAAGTACCACATATGCCAAGTGCCAAATATCATCTATGGTGATACATGTTTCCAGTAGTTTTGCAAAAATAAGAGTCAACAAAAGCCGAATAGTGATTTTATAATAATTGATAAGTCATATTTTCCTTTTAAAATCAGATACTCGGGAAATCTCAAATGTGGGTTTTTCTGCCTCCCCCTCGCAAACCCCCCTCCTGACCCCCCACCTCCCCAACCCCAATCTAATCCTGGGGTACAAACAAATCTTACAGTTACAACTTGATATATAATAAGTATGGAAAATAAGTGCAAGTGCATTGTTCACTCTATTGTGAACAATAAGAAGCTATAGCATTGTACCGTGGCATTAGATGAAGAAAATCCTCATTTGCCGAGCTACGTATAACCTATATTTCAAACTCTCTGTTGTTAATGTGAGGGGTTTTGAAAAATATATAGACTAATGATTACACTGTATTTTTTTGGTATTTTGAAAATTTCTCATTAAATAATGTACTTGATAGCATTTTAAGATCCTGTTCTATAAGAATTTCTGATCAATTTGTGTATTTTCATTATCCAGGTGTTCTTTGTGGTTTCTGGTATTGGCTACATCTAAGGGCACCTAATATTTACAGAGGACTGGAAGACAGTTACAAGACCACCAAGGGTTTACAGTTTTGTTGAACTGGGCTTTAAAAAGTTGCTGTAAGTAAGTTCCGGAAATAAAAGTAGTGAAATGATTGATGTTGCCAAATTTCTGTAAATTGTAAAACGTGTGTAGGATACATACAGCATATTTGTTAATTTATGTGTAAGATCGAAATATATCCCAGTGAGCACCAAAAAGTATATTTCACGAGTAGTGCAGCCACGAGTGAAATATGAATTTTTGATGTTCACGAGGTGAAATATATTTTGATCCTACACTAAACTAAACAATTTATTATATGCAAAGAAACGTTTAAAAAGTCATTTTAACCTAATACTAAATGAAAAGCGTGCCAAATAATTATACAACATGACGTCATTTATGACGTCACGTTTTTAAGTTGGTTTCCAGTACCGTGCACGCTGGTATTTCACTGAAACTACATAAGGGGCTTAAATTCAAAACAGTGAAATTATCAAATTGAAAATTTCACTGTTTCAAACAGTGAAAATATCAGTTTTATATTTCACTGATATATTTCTATAAACCACCGAAAAGCATGTAATAAAAGAGTTATACTTTGAAATTTTTTTTGTGAATTATACAATGTTCAGTTTTAAGTTTTTCAAGCAAAACCTTGCATGATTCCTTAAGATTAGGTTGCTGTATTCACAATTTTTGTTTGGAGTGGGGGTGGGTTTGAAGGATCTATGAAAATAATCTTTGGGTATACAAGAAATGAAGAAAGTTACCATACCTTACACAATTGTTTTATAAAGATAAGATGCTTTTTATGCCCCCATTTCGAAGAAAAGGGGGTATATTGCTTTGCACTTGTCGGTCCGTCGGTCCGTTGGTCCGTCGGTCCGTAGACCAAATGGTTTCCGAGTGATAACTAAAGATCCCTTAGGCCTAGGAACTTCAAACTTGGTATGGTGATTGGTCATGACCAGTAGATGACCCCTATTGATTTTGGGGTCAAGGGATCAAAGGTCAAGGTCACATTGACCTTGTAAGCAAAAACGGTTTCAGATCAATAACTAAAGAACGTTAAGGCCTAGGAACTTCAAACTTGGTATGGTGATTGGTCATGACCAGTAGATGACACCTATTGATTTTGGGGTCAAGGGGTCAAAGGTCAAGGTCACATTGACCTCTTGGGTAAAAAAGCTTTCCGAGTGATAACTAAAGAATCCTTAGGCCTAGAAACTTCAAACTTGGTATGGTGATTGGTCATGACCAGTAGATGACCCCTATTGATTTTGGGGTCAAGGGGTCAAAGGTCAAGGTCACATTGACCTTGTAAGCAAAAACGGTTTCCAATCAATAACTAAAGAACGTTAAGGCCTAGGAACTTCAAACTTGGTACGGTGATTGGTCATGATAAGTAGATGACACCTAAGGTCACATTGACCTCTTGGGTAAAAAGGGTTTCCGAGTGATAACTAAAGAATCCTTAGGCCTAGAAACTTCAAACTTGGTATGGTGATTGGTCATGACCAGTAGATGACCCCTATTGATTTTGGGGTCAAGGGGTCAAAGGTCAAGGTCACATTGACCTTGTAAGCAAAAACGGTTTCCGATCAATAACTAAAGAACGTTAAGGCCTAGGAACTTCAAACTTGGTATGGTGATTGGTCATGATCAGTAGATGACCCCTATTGATTTTGGGGTCAAGGGGTCAAAGGTCAAGGTCACATTGACCTTGTAAGCAAAAACAGTTGCCGATCAATAACTAAAGAACCTTAAGGCCTAGGAACTTCAAACTTGATATGGTGATTGGTCATGATCAGTAGATGACTCCTATTGATTTTGGGGTCAAGGGGTCAAAGGTCAAGGTCACATTGACCTCTTTGGTAAAAACCGTTTCCGATCAATAACAAAAGAACCCTTAGGCCTAGGAACATGAAACTTGCTATGTTGATTGGTTATGACCAATCAGATGACCCCTATTGATTTTGGGGTTAAGGGTCAAAGGTCAAGGTCACATTGTACTTGTAGGTAAAAACGGTTTCTGATCAATAACGAAAAAACCCTGAGGCCTAGGGACTTCAAAATTTATATGGTGATTTGTCATGATCAGTAGATGACCCCTAATGATTTTGGGGTCAAAGGTCAAGGTCACATTGACCTCTTAGGTAAAAACGGTTTCTGATCAATAACTAAAGAACCCTTAGGCTTAGGAACTTCAAACTTGGTATGGTGATTGGTCATGACCAGCAGATGAGCCCTATTAATTTTGGGGTTTAGGGGTCAAAGTGCAAGGTCACATTGACCTTGTAGATAAAAATGCTTTATGATCAATAACTTAAGAACCCTTAGGCCTAGGAACTTCAAACTTGGTATGGTGATTGGTCATGACCAGCAGATGACCTATTGATTTTGGGGGTCAAGGGGTCAAAGGTCAAGGTCACATTGACCTTGTAGGTAAAAGTGGTTTCCGATCAATTTACTAAAAACGCTAAGGCCTAGGAACTTTAATCTTTGTATGATGATTGGTCATGACCAGCAGATGACCCCTATTGAGTTTTGGGTCAAGGGGTCAAAGGTCAAGGTCACATTGACCTTGTAAGTAAAAACTGTTTCTGATCAATTACTTAAGAACGCTTAGGCCTAGGAACTTCAAACTTGGTATGGTGATTTGTCATGACCAGCAGATTACCCCTATTGATTTTGGGATGAAGGGGTCAAAGGTCAAGGTCACATAGACCTTTAAGTAAAAACGGTTTCTGATCAATTACTTAAGAATGCTTAGGCTTAGGAACTTCAAACTTGGCATGGTGATTGGTCATGACCAGCAGATGACCCCTATTGATTTTGGGGTCAAGGGGTCAAAAGTCATGGTCAAATTGACCTTGTAGGTAAAAACGGTCAAGTAACTAAAAACGCTTAGGCCTAGGAACTTCAAACTTTGTATGATGATTGGTCGTGACCAGCAGATGACCCCTATTGAGTTTTGGGTCAAGGGGTCAAAGGTCAAGGTCATGACCAGTAGGTACTTGATAACCCTTATTAACTGTTTGATCACTGGGTCAAAAGTCATGCATAATAACCTTATCACATGACTAATTGGCTGCTGATAGGGGGCATACATGTTTTACAAACATATCTTGTTTCATATTGCTTTAATTTCATGTATTGGACCATTAATAATAATTGGGATAAAACAAAAGGCGATGGTGGG